AGCCAAGCCTTCTAGGATGGTGGTGTGGAAGTGTACCTTCTGCATGTAGAGCTTCAAGACATTTCATTAAGTGAAAAGCTGAGGGTAGAAATAAAGAGAGCATCACACAGATCTATGCTGCTGTTGTTAGCTGCTACCGACTTGACTCTGGACTCAAAGCTCCTGACTCAGACACAACGGAGTGAAATGCTGCATGGTCCTGCACTAGCCGCATGATAGGTTGCAGATAGGACCATTGTGATCCATAGGGTTTTCATGGGCTGATTTTCAGGAGTAGATTGCCAGGCCTTTCTTCCTAGTCCATCTTAGTCTGGAAGCCCCACTAAAACCTATTCAGCATCCAAGCAACACACAAGCCTCCATGGACAGATGGGTAGTGACTGTGCAGGAGGTGCATTGGCCGGGAATCAAACTCGGGTCTCCCTTATGGAAGAGGAAAATTGGATCACCGAACTACCAATACCTCATAATAGAACAATAAGCCAAAAATAACCTGTTGCTGTCAAATTGATTCTGACACATGGGGAGATTCCATGTGTTACACAGCAGAAATACTCCATAGGGTTTTCTTGGCTGTAATCCTTATGGAAGCAGATTTCCAGGCCTTTCCTCTGCAGCTGCTGGGTGGGTTCAAACCACCAACCTTTAGGTTAGTAGTAGAGCACAAACCATTAGCACCATCTACTCAGCAATAAAAATGAATGAACTGCTGATACACCCAATAACAGGAAGAATCTCAAAAACATCATGCTGAGTGAAGACCCCTAACTCAAAATTACACATCTTGTGTGATTCTATTTATATTTTAAAAATTTTATAGTATTTTATTGTGTTGTTGGTGAAAGTTTACACAGCAAATTTCTATACATATTGTTCAGTGACATTGGTTACATTTTTCACAATGTGTCAACATTCTCATTATTTCCATTCTGGTTGTTCCTTTTCCATTAATCTAGCTTCCCTGTCCCCTCTTATCTTCTCATCTTTGCTTTAGGGTAAATGTTGACCATTTGGTCTCATATAAATGATTTTTAAAGAGCTCAGTACTCACTGGTGATGTTGTTTATGATCCAGTCTGTTATTTACCTGAAAGGTGACCTCTAGGAGCGGTTTCAGTTCCAAGTTTAAAGGGTATCTCAGGGAGACAGTCTTGGGGTTTTCTCTAGTCTCTACCAGCCCAGTAAGTCTGATGTTTTTTAAGAATTTGAGTTTTGTTCAACATTTTTCTCCCATTACATGAAAAATTTAAAAAGACAAATGTAACTGATAGTGACAGAAGGCAGATCGGTGGTTGCCTGGGGCTGTGGAGGAGGATTAACTGGGAAGAGACACAGGAAACTTTTTTGGAGTGATAGAAATGTTCTATATCTTGATTGTGGATGTGGTTACAAGCATGTGAAAATGTGATAAAGCTCATGAGAGGCTACACTAAAATTGTGTATTTTACTGTATATAAACTATACCTCAATAAGATGAATTTAAAAATAAAAAAAAATTACCATGGACATATATTTCACATGATATTGTCATTTACCAAAAACTAAAAAATTAATCAGTGCTGATGAAGTTTACAAAATTAAGTCTAGTTATCCAACAAACCTACCACATATCTGTCAGTTTGACATTGTCTTAGTCATCTAGTGCCGCTATAACAGAAATATCACAAGGGGATAGCTTCAACAAACAGAAGTTTATTCTCTCAGTCTAGGGGGCTAGAAGCCCGAATTCAGGATGCCAGCTCCAGGGGAAGGCTTTCTCTTTCTGTTGGCTCTGGAGGAAGGTCCTTGTTATCAATCTTCCCCTGGATGAGGAGCTTCTCAGAGCAGGGACCCCGGGTCCAAAGGACATGCTCTTTTCCTGGCCCTCTTTGCTTGGTGGTATGATGTCCCCTGTCTTTCTGCTTGCCTCTCTCTTATATCTCAAAAGAGATTGACTGAAAACAAAATCTGATCTTGTAGACTGAGTCCTGCCTCATTAACATAACTACTTCTAATCCTATCTCATTAACATCATAGAGGTAGCATTTACAACACACAGGAATCTCACATCAGGTGACAAAATGGTGGACAATCACACAATTCTGGGAATTATGGCCTAGCCAAGTTGACAGATATTTTTTGGGGACACAATTCAATCCATGGCAGATGTACTGTGGTGGCTTGGGTGTTGCTGTGATACTGGAAGCTTTGCCACTTGTATTTTAAATACCAGCAGGGTCACCCTTGGTGGATAGGTTCTAGTGGAGCTTCTAGACTAAGACAGGCTAGGAAGAAGGACTTTGTAGTCTACTTCTGAAGAAACTGGCCAGTAAAAACCTTATGAATAGCAGTGAAACATGCTATTCATATGCTCTCGGGACCTTCATTTGCTGATGTGGCATGACTCAAAATGAGAAGAAACAGCTACAAACACCCATTAATAATTTAGAATGTGGAAAGTACAAAGTATGAATCTAGTGTTACCAAATCCTAAAAGGTGAGTTCTTGTCCTGTGCTCTCAGGCTTGCCGATTATCTGGACAGCGGTCTTTGAGAAAGAGAAAGTAACTTTATTGCAATGCACAGAGCAAGGAGCCAAGAGGAAGTTCCTCAGATTCGGCTCAACAAGCTACAGGGAAGCAGGACTTATATGTGATTTGGGCAGCAAGACGGCAGCCACACAGGTGTTCTGGGGAGGGAAAACTCTAGAAGGCAGCCAGGAAACAGGAGGTGACATGGTTCTTGTGGACCTCTCGCTTTGAAGTAGGGTCCGGGTGATGATTTTCCTTCTGATTTGTTCCTCTTGTTGCTGCGTCCTCTGTTGAGGTCACTTAGAGGTCACAGCTGGCCCTTCTGAGCATTCGAGACAGGCCAAATCTGGTTTGGGCTAGTTTAAGGACTAATGGAAATTTACCGGCATTAGTAAGGTCAGGTTAGACTAGGAAAATTGGAAGTCGTCAAAAATGAAATGGAATGCATAAAGATTGATATCCTAGGCATTAGTGAGCTAAAAGGGACTGGTATTGGCCATTTTGAATCAGACAATCATATGGTTTACTCTGCCAGGAATGACAAATTGAAGAGGAATGGTGTTGCATTCATCATCAAAAAGAACATTTCAAGATCTATCCTGAAGTACAACGCTGTCAGTGATAGGATAATATCTATACGCCTACAAGGAAGACCAGTTAATACGACTATTATTCAAATTTATATACCAACCACTAAGGCCAAAGATGAGGAAATTGAAGATTTTTACCAACTTCTGCAGTCTGAAATGGATCAAACGTGCAATCAAGAAGCATTGATAGTTACTGGTGATTGGAATGGGAAGGTTGGAAACAGAAGAAGGATCAGTACTTGGAAAATATGGCCTTGGTGATAGAAACGATGATAGAATTTTGCAAGACCAACGACTTCTTCATTGCAAATACTTTTTCTCAACAATGTAAATGGCAACTATACACGTGGACCTCGCCAGATGGAATACACAGGGATCAAATCAACTACGTCTTTGGAAAGAGACGATGGAAAAATTCAATATCATCAGTCAGAACAAGGCCAGGGGCCGACTGAGGAATAGACCATCAATTGCTCGTATGCAAGTTCAAGTTGAAGCTGAAGAAAATTAAACCAAGTACACAAGAGCCAAAATACAACCTTGAGTATATCCCACCTGAATTTGGAGACCATCTAAACAATAGATTTGACGCATTGAACACTAATGACCAAAGACCAGACAAGTTGCCAGAAAACATCAAGGACATCATACATGGAGAAGGCAAAAGGTCATTAAAAGGACAGGAGAGAAAGAAAAGACCAAAATGGATGTCAGAAGAGGCTCTAACTTGCTCTTGAATGTAGAGTAGCTAACGCAAAGGGAAGAAATGTTGAACTAAAAGAGCTGAACAGAAGATTTCAAAGGACAGCTCGAGAAGACAAAGTAAAGTATTATGACATATGCAAAGACCCTGGTAGCGTAGTGGTAAAGAGCTATGGCTGCTAACCAAAAGGTCGGCAGTTCAAATCCACTAGGCGCTCCTTGGAAAGTCTATGGGGGCAGTTCTGCTCTGTCCTATAGAGTGGCTATGAGTCGGAATCAACTTGACGGCAGCGGGTTTGGTTTGGTTTGTGCAAAGACCTGGAGGTAGAAAACCAAAAGGGAAGAACATGGTCAGCATTTCTCAAGCTGAAAGAACTGAAGGAAAAATCCAAGCCTTAGTTGCAATATTGAAGGATTTTACAGGGAAAGTATTAAACGACGCAGAAAGCATTAAAAGAAGACGGAAGGAATACGCAGAGTCACTATACCAAAAAGAATTGGTCGATGTTCAACCATTTCAGGAGGTAGCATATGATCAAGAACTGATGGTACTGAAGAAAGAAGTGCAATCTACACTGAAGGCATTAGTGAAAAACAAGGCTCCAGGAATTGCCGGGATACCAACTGAGATGTTTCAACAAAGGGTTGCAGCGCTGGAGGTGCTCACCAGCACCTACAATCATGTATAGCAGACTAAAAGGGCAACACCTGCCGAAAATCATTGAGAAGGCAGAAAAGGACAGGAAAAAAGGATGATGGAAATGGGGAATTGGGGTGTGGAAAGGGAGAGTGTTGACACATCGCGGGGATTGCAACCAATGTCACAAAACAATTTGTGTATAAATTGTTGAATGAGAAACTAATTTGCTCTGTAAAGTTTCACCTAAAGCACAATTTAAAAGGGACATCCAAATGTACGCCAAACACTCCAAAAGGCGCCGGGTTTTAGGAAAACGTATTTTTGCCAAACTGGCTTTAAAAGAGTAGCAAGGGAGCCCTGCCTTAGTGCTGAGAAACTGGAAGTGGGCGCCAAGGTGGAAGTGTGGCAGGGGACGGGAGAGCTAGACATCTCTACTCCTGACTCTGCCCCGCCTCGCAACTCAGAAGTGCGGCTCACATCCAGACACCAAGAGCGCGCGCGTGCCGCCGGGCTCAGCCAATCAAGAGGAAGTGAGGCGGGCACTCAGGCGGAAATAGTGTTAGCAAACAGGAAGTGCAGTAGTTTACCTACCGATTCCGGGGGTGCGTCATGGAGGCTTATGAGCAGGTCCAGAAGGCGCCCCTGAAACTGAAAGGCGTCGCAGAGCTTGGCGTGACCAAGCGGTGAGGCCCGCGGGAACTCGTCCCCTGCCCCCTGAGGCCTTTCCTCGGAACCCCGGGCTCTTGCCGTCTGACCCACCCTCACCCCCACCTCCGTGTGTCCCCTTCCAGGAAGAAGAAAAAGGACAAAGATAAGGCGAAACTTCTGGAAGCGATGGGAACGAGCAAAAAGAACGAGGAGGAGAAGCGGCGGGGCCTGGACAAGCGGACTCCGGCCCAGGCGGCCTTCGAGAAGATGCAGGAGAAGCGGGTAAGGTGGGGGCCTGAGCAGGAAGGGCGGGGAGCGGAGTCCGGGCTGGTAGTACACCCTGGGTCTTCAGAGGAGGGCGAGCGGCCAGAAAAAAAGACCCATAACCCGTTGTCGTCGAGTCCATTCCGACTCATAGCGACCCTGTAGGGCAGAGTAGAACTGCCATGTAAGGTTTCCAAGGAGCAGCCGGTGGATTTGAATTGCAAACCTTTTTGTAGCAGCAGAACGCTTAACCACTACGCCAGCAGGGCTCCAAAGGAATCAAATTCCTGAATTCCCTAGTTCCGGGGAGAGGATGTTGTGGGAGGGAGAGAGGAGGCCCCTCGGATCCGGGGGAGCTCCAGAACGAGAAGGCTCCGCTGGTTCGAGTGGACCGCAGAGGAGACAGCCAGAGCTAGAAACCCGGCTTGGATCCCAGCGCTGTCGCTTATTTGCTGAAACGCTGGACCAGTGCTTTCTCTCCGTGCCTCAGTTTCCTCATCTGAGGGGTCACGATAGTTCCTTCTGTGAGGAGAAGTGATGCAGGTAATGCACTTGGCACTAGGTACTCGGTGGCCATGCTCACCTGTGTAAGTCACCAGGAGTCTATTTCCATGAGCACTTTGCTTGGCACTTTCAAATATGTTGTGTCTATGGTTCTGGTAAGTCATTTATCTTGGCATTAAACACTTAATAAATTTGGAGAGTGGAGGACAGGAGACGTCAGGGTTAGATAATAAGCCAAGATCAGTCACTGGGACTAGGCTGGTTATGGGGGAGGGGATACTAAGCCTAGGTCAGTGGTTCTCAACTAGGGGAGATTCTGCCCCAGGGGAACACTTGGCAATGTCTGGAGACAGTTGTCACAGCTGCAGGGGATGGATGCTACTGGTATTTTGTGGGTGGAGGCCAGGAATGCCGCTCAACATCCTATAGTGAACAGGATGGTCTCCACCCCAGAGAATGATCTGGAACAAAATGTGAACAGTGCTGTGGTAGGGAACCAAAACCAAACCAAACTCACTGCTATCAAGTTGATTCCGACTCATAGTGACCACATAGGGTTTCCAAGGCTACCAATCTCTGTGGAAGCAGGCTGCCACATCTTTCTTCCGCGGAGCTGCTGGTGGTTTCAAACCACTGATGTTTCAGTTAGCAGTCCAGTGCTTAACCACTGCGCCACCAGGGCTTGTGGTAGGGAAACCCTGTGTTAATTATTTGAGAAAAACTGGAACTGGATTCCTGCTCACAGCGTGCAGCAGAATAAATTCCCGATGTGTTAGACAGTATAGATCAGGGTGATCCTCCAGTTTCTGTGATTTTCCTCCCATCTCTCCTCATTCAGTGTGTGGATTTAAATGTGTGCAGCATCCTAGGATGTCGGTAGGTCACATGATTGTGGGACGCAGTGTCTCTTGGGGGTCAGTGGGATCCCCTAATCCAGGGTTGCTCACCCAGCACAATTCTTCCCCCAGGGGACACTGATGATATCCAAGACCTTTTTTGGTTGTCACAACCGGGGGTGCTACTGGCATCTTGTGGGTAGAGGCCCAGGATGCTGCTCAATGGCCTGCAGTGCACAGGACAGCCCCATTCCAGAGAGTGGTCTGGAACCAAGTGTCTCTAGTGTCAAAGCCTGATCTAGGTGATTCAGTCCAGTGACATCAGGAAAAGCTGACTCATTACACCCAGGCCTAGTTCAGTCATACAAAAAAAACATTGGACTCACCAGCTCTGGCAAGACAAACCTGGGTTCTGACCTTATCTCCACTACTTATTAGTGGAGTAACTCTGGGTAAATCAGCTAACCCCCATGCCTCAGTTTATCTGTAAAGTGGGGCTAAAGCTTCTACTTCATAGGTTTATGGTAGGGATTTGACATTTGAATGCACTTCAGTCCTTTGGCTAAAGTCACACTCAGAGGCTGGGCTGGAATTTTACTGCTGAGCCTGGGTGGGGTAGGGGAGAGGCTGACACAGCCATCAAGGTGACCAATGATGGGGGCTTGGAGGAGGGTGGTCACAGCAGAGCTGGTGGGAGGTATCAGGTGCAGGATCAATTTTGAAGGAAGAACTGCAGGATTTACTGATGGATTGGATGTGAGCTGAGAAAGAAGAACCAAGGGTGACCGGAATGCTTGGCCAGAGCACTGGGTAAATGACAGTGCTGTTTACCGAGATGGGAAGAACCACAGGTGTAAAGCAGGTTTCACAGAGGAGGCAGTCAAGACTTGAGTTTTAGAGAAGTTTGGGATGCCTGTTGGAAATCCAGCTGGAGGATTCTCATAGGCAGTTTGAAATCTAAGCCTGAGTGTGTAAGAGAGGTCTGGGCACTGATGAATACTTGGGAATCACTGTGGCACTGGGTGAGTCACTCTCCTCTGAGGGACACTGATGGAGAAGGGGTCTTGGGTTCACGAGCTGAGCTCTGTGGCATTCATGATGAGAGGGTGGTGGAGAAGAAACTTCAAAGGAGCCTAGGAGGGAGCAGCAGCTAGGAAGGAGAGAAGTAAGGGGTGAGTGGTGTCCTTAGGAGCTGAGTCTGCTCCCTGGGGAGGTGCTCAACTGGTGCTGGAGGCCAGAGCTGGGGGACCACTGGCCCAGGTGCCCGGTGGCATGTGTTGGGCTAGGCTTGCGTGTCAGATCAGCCAGAATGGCACTGAGGGAGGGCCTGGTGTGCAGCTGAGAACTCCAGCCATTCTTGGCGTGAGAGCCAGGCTGCCGAGGCCCCTGTTCCCATCCCGTGCTGGGCTGGGCTGAGTTGAGCCTGTAAACTTACCTGCATGTCTCATCTCTTTCAGCAAATGGAAAGGATCCTGAAGAAAGCGTCTAAAACGCACAAGCAGAGAGTGGAGGTCAGTCAGGGGCCTGATAGTCACAGTGGGCAGAGAGCCGGGCAGAGGAGGACACTGAGTGTTGACGGGGAGGGTGGTCTTAGGGTTCTCTACAGAAACAAAACCAGTTAGACATATGTATTGCCAGACTAAGATAGACTAGGAAGAAAGGCCTGGTGGTCTACTCCCGAAAATCAGCCCATGAAAGCCCTATGGATCACAACGGTCCAGTCTGCAGCCAATTATGGGGATGGCGCAGGACTGGGCAGTGTGTCATTCCATTGCACGTGGGATTGCCATGAGTTCAGTGCTGACTTAGTGGCAGCTAACAATATTAGCAAGATATGTATATATTCACACACACACAGAGAGAGAAAGAGATTTTTTTTGAAGAATTGGCTCATGAGACTTTGTGGGGCTGGCAAGTCCAAAATCCATAGGTCAGAAGATAGGCTGGAGAATCCTGCAGTCTTGTGTCCCCAAGTCAGTAGGTCAGGCAGTTGGGGAGAGGGGAATTCTGGCAGAATATCTATTTACAGCAAGTCCCCAGTTAAGAACGTCCGACTTACGGACAACTCATACCTAAGAATGGAATGCCATAAAGCCTATTGCATGAAAATTTGAGTTAAATAAAATGGTTCATAGTAATGAACATACGCACTACTTTGTGATGCTCATGAAAACATTGCACATCTTCAGAAGTTCATCGGCTTGAGGAAGGAGAATGCCATCCACCTTTTTAAGTTGGATCATGTTGCCGTTAACATTGTATAGAATGTGTAACTTTGTATTTGGCTTAAATTTTCCTCTTATTTACCCTTGTAACCATGCCTCCAAAGCGTAAGTCCAGTGCAAGTGCTGGTGGTGCATCAAAGAAAAGGAGAACGATCACGATTGAAAATAAAGTGGAAATAATAAAGCGATCGGAAAGAGGTGAAACGCCATCAGTCATTGGAAAAGCGTTAGGCTACAGTCGGTCAACGATTGGAACAATTTTAAAGGATAAAGTGAGAATAATGGAGCATGTGAAAGGCTGTGCCCTGATGAAAGCTACAGTTATTACTAAGCAACGCAGTGGTTTACTTATTGAAATGGAAAGGCTATTGATAATGTGGTTAGACGATCAGAATCAGCGTAATATGCCCATTAGCCTTACTTTAGTGCAACGAAAGGCTCGAAGCCTTTTCAATGATTTAAAAGCTGCACGTGCAGCAAGAGAAGGTGATTGTGATGAAGAATTTGTTGCGAGTAGGGGTTGGTTCAATCGTTTCAAAGTGAGGGCAAATTTACATAATATTAAAGTGCGCGGTGAAGCAGCAAATGCCAATGTAAGTGCTGCGAGTGATTTTCCTGAGATGTTGAAAAATGATGGAGAGTTACTAAACTCTCACGCAGAAGAACTAACCAACGAAGGCCTTAAGGAACTAGAGCAGCAGATGATAGCATTTGAGGAAGAAGACCAGGACCAAAAAACTCCAGTACCGAAAAAGTTTTTGACAAAAGAGTTAGCTGAAGCCTTTCGTCTCATTGAAGCAGGGATGGCAAAGTTAGAGGAGCAAGATCCCAATACGGAGAGGTTCACCAAAGTTTACCGTGTGGTTACCGAAGGTCTCAGCTGCTACAAGGCCATTTATGATGAGAAAAAGAAAAGCTCTGTACAAACCTCCCGTATGCCTACTTCAGGAAATTGACCACAGCAGTAAACTCCCCCTCTCCAGCAGCAGAATCAAACCCTGACTCTCCTGCACCAGGTCCATCTTCTCCACCAGGCCCATCATCGTCAACAGTAGCCATCTCTCCATCATCCTCTCCTGCATCATCCAGTATTAATGTTATAATGTTACCTCATGAATGCCCCTTCTGGTATGCAAGACATCGATGGAACGAGAGTAAGTGTTAACCTTTAATCATGATTTTTTTTTTTCCCTATCTAAACTGTTTTAAGAACTATTTCTTTAATTTTTTATAGTACTGTATACCTGCACACACACACACACAGATTCTCTCTTCAGTACAGTACTGTATGTAGTTACTTTTATTATTACTGTATTATTATATACTGTATTATGTTTAAGATGTTTTAATGTATTTGGAAGCATTAAGTGTTCTATATGCATAGAAAGGTAAAATATGTACTATATATGAAAACAAACATTGGACTGACGCTAAATAAGAACCATATGTACTTGTTCTGACTTATTTACAAATTCAACTTAAAGACAGAGTTAGGAATGGATCTCGTTTGTAGCCTGGGGGTTGCCTATGTTCACACACATCCGTACAGAGAGAGAGAGAGATTTATTTTGAAGAATTGTCTCATGAGACTTTGAAGGGCTGGTAAGCCCAAAATCCATAGGGCAGGAGACAGGCTGGAGACTGTGTCTTGTGTCCCAAAATTGGTAGGTCAGGCAATTGGGGAGAGGGGAATTCTGCCAGTATATCTATTCTGGAGATAGAACTCTCCCTTGGGAAACCTCCAGTTTGCTCTTACAGCCTTCAACTGCTTGAATGAGGCCAACCCACATTATGGAGGGTGATCTGCTTAAGGTGAGCTGATATAAACACTTATTAGCTGCTGTTATGCCGGCGCCCAACTTCATGACAACCCCATGCACAATGGAACCAAACACTGCCCAGTCCTGCGCCATCCCCATTTGTTGTGGATCCAACCATTGTGATCCAAAGGGTTTTCACTGGCTGATTTTTGGAAGTAGATCACCAGGCCTTTCTTCCAAATCCATCTTAGTCTGGAAGCTCTGCTGAAACCTGTTCAGCATCATAGCAACATGCAAGTCTTCACAGACAGAAGGGTGGTGGCTGCACATGAGGTGCACTGGCTGGGAAGGGAACCCAGGTCTCCCATGTGGAAGGCAAGAACTCTACCACTGAACCACCATAGCAACATCTAGACTAGTGTTTGACCAAACAACTGGGTAGCATCGCCTAGCCAAGTTGATGCAAAATTAACCATCACAGGGTCTTCCCGGGGTCACTCAAGGGAGAGCCCGGGGTTCAGGCATCTGTGCGACCTGGCAGGTTAAGTTTGAGGTGGAGAGTAGGAGAGGAGAGAGGACATGGAAGAGATGGGGTGGGCAATACCGCGTGCCCTTCACACCCTGCATGGGTCTGTGCTGAGACGCGCTTTCTCCTTGACCTTCACAGGACTTCAACAGACACCTGGACACGCTCACGGAGCATTATGACATCCCCAAAGTCAGCTGGACCAAGTAGCCTCCTGGCCCCTGGGCATGGTGTGGCCTCGAGGGGAAGCGGAAGACAAAGTTGGGGTTATGTCTAGTCCCTTCGGCATTTTCTAGAAACATTCTTTTACTCATACCTTTGCATTTTCTGCTGCAACAGTGCATTCTGAAACTTTTTGTTCTAGAACTTGATTAAAGAAAGACTGTCCTTTCACTCAGTTTTGGTTTCTTGGTAGCTCATAGAAGATAAACGTTTTTAGTGTGGACTGGAAAGCTTTGGAAGTCTATCCAGAGGTTAAAGTTGTTGCTGTGTAAGTGCCATGTAAGAATGTTTAGTTCTCTGAGTTGCATTTAAGTCTCTGAGGACAACCGGCCAGCTCTCTTTGCCCAGAAAAAACTCACTCCAGAGGATAAGGAGCTTATGCTGGTGTAGCATGCAGTGGGCAGACCCCCATATATGTAGGCTCCCCTTATAAATTCCCATTAGCTTGGGGCTTAAGCTCTTCCATCCAGGACCCAGAGAAGCTACCCATGGCCTCATGGCCTTCTGACCACCTCCACAGCCCTCCTGCCTGGGATGCAGAGTACGGCTACCTGTGGTAAGGATGGAGCATCCCGCCTGGTCCCTTTCTGAGCCCATGACTGGCTTGCAGCCCCTCCCCCAGTTTTGCCATTCCAGACATTTCTAATAGGTGTCATCATGGCCCATGTGGCAGACATCGCTAATCTATCACAGCTTTCTTTGTAATGGAACCCAGACACCACCTGACTTCTCCCTCAACCAGGGCTCCAAGTTGGCACATGACCTGGAGCCTGTTGGGGTGACAGGCCCACGGCGGAACCCTACCACAGACAGACATGTACACAGTTAAATGGGAGGACCCCGTTACTGGTGCTGGAGAGCCAGGGTTTTTGGGGGGCCTGTGTTTGTTGGATGAGGCTCAATCTGTGTACTCTACTAGGGGTTAGAGTCTCTGCCGACCCAGCTTTCTAAAGAGTAACAAAGCAAGAAGACAAAAACCAAGTGTTGGGCTTGAGGCTGTTACATGTGAACTGCAGAATAAAGCAACAACCAATTATTAAATGTGTCTGTGTGTCTTAGTTACAAGCTGTTTGGTTTCCACATGGAATGCTGCCTTTTGAGTTTATCACATGAAGGATGTGCATACCTGTTTTAGTTACCTAGTGCTGTTATAACAGAAATACCACAAGTGGATGGTTTCAACAAAGAAATGTATTCTCTTTCAGTCTAGAAGTCCAAATTCAGGGTGCTAGCTCTAGGGTAAGGCTTTCTCTCTGAGTTGGTTCTGGGGGGAGGTCCTTGTCATCCATCTTCCCCTGGTCTGGGAGCTTCTCCACGCTGGGAACCTCAGATCCAAAGGACACGCTATGCTCCCGGTGCTGCCTTCTTGGTGGTAGGAGCCCCACCCCCACCCCCGCCCTTGCTTCTCTCTTTTATATCTCAAAAGAGATTGGCTGTCGTGCCTCATTAACATAACTGCCACTAATCCCATCTTATTAACATTATAGAGATAGTATTTACAACACATAGGAAAATCACATCAGATGACAAAGTGGTGGACAATCACACAATACTGGGACTCATGGCCTAGCCAAAGTGGTACACACATTTTTGGGAGACAAAATTCTATCCATGGCAATACCTTAAAGGACTGAAAAGGTCCCTGGCTGGCGCAAATGGTCTGCGCTCAACTACTAACTTAAAAGTTGGTGGCTCAAAACCACCCATTGGTGACACAGAAGAAAGCCCTGGCAATCTTCCATAGAGATTTTTTGTTAGGTGCCCTTGAGGCAATTCCAACTCATAGTGACCCCATGTGACAGTAGAACTGCTCCATATGGTTTTCTTGGCTATAATCTTTATGGGAGCAGATAGCCAGGTCTTTCTCCTTCTGAGCTGCTGGCTGGGTTCGAACTACCAACCTTTTGGTTAGGAGGTAAATGCTTAACTGTTTGTGCCACAAGCCTAGAAAACCGTATGGAGCTGATAGGGTCATCATGACTCGGAACTGACTGATGGCAACTCTTTTTAAAAAAGCAGGGATAGGAGGAGGGGAAAAGGGGGAAGTTACTTCTTAGGGGGCACTGAACTTCTGTTAAGGGTGATGGAAAAATTTAGAAACAGTGATGGTTGCATGAGGAGACATGATGAACGGAATCAGCATCACTCAATTGTACATGTAAAAATTGTTGAAATGGTAAATGTTACCTATATTTTTACCACAATAAAACGAAAACTATTCTTTTCATCTGTGTTTAGTGGGGGCGTGGTTTTCATGAGATCATTCCCGGCAATAAGCAGAAAACCACTTTTGTTCACTGACGAACGTTGATACTGAGGGGTGACGGAGTGACCGCAGTAAAGCCTAACTGCCTTTTAGAGAGTTTGCCTGACCTCTTTCTAAGTAAATCGCCACCTCGCCCCTCCCAACGAAGCCTCCTAGACTCCCCCACCAGACTGCAGCTCCATAAAGCCTGGGCCTCAGGTAAGGCCTTTTGGCATCTCTCACCTAACCTGGAGCAGACCCTTGGATTCTGGAGGCGGAGGTGGGAAACATGGCTCACACCCGGCTTCTGCGCCTGCGCACACTCTGTTCCGCGCCTGCGCATTGCTGGAAGCTCCGCCCAGAGCGGACATAACGGTCCGCTAGCGGCTCCTGGACCGGAAGTGGAGGCGAACTGCTGCGGGGCGCGTCGGCCTTGCTCAACGCCCGGCCGTTTCCGCCGCTGCTGCCGAGGTTGCTGCCGAAGCTTTCCGCCGCCGCCATGTCCGCTAGCGCCGTCTACGTGCTGGACCTAAAGGGCAAGGTACTCAGGGCTCCCCACCCTTCCCGTTACCGGGAAACTGGCGGAGGCGGGGACCCACCCCGCCGGTAGGTAGCTGGCCAGTGGGCCCCACCCGGGTGTGAGGCGGGGAGGCCCCAAGGCTGCACCCGAGGCCCTCACCCGTTTGCTAGAGAAGCAGGAGGGGTCTTCTGCCCGCAAGCCCCGCCCTGTTGCTAGGTAACGCAGTGGGCTGCTTCCCGCCGGCAACCGCCTGGTAACCGGCTGCACCACCCTCCCCGCCTCTCAGTGCGGGCCGGAGACTCCGGCCTCGGTGGGGGCCCGGGAAGCCGCGGGGAGGGCAGTCCCGGCGCCGAGGGATCGCGCGACCCTTGGCCAGAAGTAGCGAGGCGTGGCGGGGACAGCATGCCCTGGGCTGCTGTTCACCGGGCACCTTTTCTGTGCCAGGCCCTGTAGGCATTGCTCAAGGAACGTTCATGGTGCCACTGAGTCTGTACAAGGGTTAGGTGTGGTGGACGGTGGGAGCGCCATTGTGCAGAGGGGGAAACTGAGGCACAGAAGCTGAAGCACCCACCAAAGGTCACACGGGTCGCAGAGAAATGACAGGTCGAGGCCTCGATCCCAGGAGGCGAACCCAGAATCACCCGTTGGCTCAGCTGATTTTTGTGGGGCTGGTACTGAGTGCCAGGCCGGGCTGTTGTCGTGGTGTCTCCACTCCGACTCATGGTGACTTCATGTGTGCAGAGCAGAGCTGTGCTCCATAGGGTCTTCTAGACTGTGACTTTTTGAAGCAGATCGCCAGGCCTTTCTTCCAGGGTGCCTAAGGGTGAACTCTTAAACCACCAACCTTTCTGTTAGCAGCTGAACTTGTAAAGCATTTGCACCATCCCGGGACTCCAAAATGTTACTTGTTAGTTGCCAGTCAGTTCCGACTCATGGAGACCCCATATGTGCAGAGTAGGACTGTGCTCCATAGGATTTTCAAGGCTGTAACTTTTCAGAAGCAGATCACCAGGGCTGTCTTCCGAGGCACTGCTGGGTGGTTTCAAACCGCCGACCTTTCCACTAGTAGTCAAGTGTAACCGTTTGTACCACCCAGGGACTAGCACCAGGCAGGGGGAGCAGTCCCTCTCCTGTGGGACCCACAGTCTGGTGGAGGAGATGGACAGTAACCTCAAAACGCACAAACCAATGTGCACTGCGATGAGGGAGTAGTGAGCATGTGTAGTAGGGAGGTGCCACCTCAGCTCAGAGGTCAGGGAGGGCCCCTCAAAAGAGTGGCATGTCCACTGAGGTGTGAGAGAGGGTTGGACATACCTGGACCAGGAGCCTGTGCTGGTTCCAGGAACCAGGCGCCTTTTCCAGAGGGTCTGACCGAAAAACCAAAACCAAACCCATTGCCGTCAAGTTGATTCTGACTCATGGCGACTCCACGTGTTACAGAGTAGAACTGAGCTCCAGAGGGTTTTTTGGCTGTAATCTTTATGGAAGACGATCACCAGACCTTTCTTTTGCCACACCACTGGGTAGGTTTGAACTGCCAACCTTCAGGTTTGCAGCCAAGCACAAACTACTTGAGCCATCCAGGAATCTGAGGGGGGCCTGAGAAAGCTGCTTAAAGGAGGGGTTGTGAAAGCCTTTCAGATGTGGGCTGCTGCCCTCCCCCAGGCCCACCCAGTGGGGGAAAGGCAATGGCCATCTGACTTCTTGCACCTGGGAACAACAAATACAGATTGAACAATATCAAACGAGCCTGACGTTGATCACTGAGAGGGACATGGGTGTCAGGTCCTGGGGGAGGGAAGAAGAGTTAGTAGAGAAGCAGACAGGAGCCAAGAGGTGAAGTGACTGCCCCTCGCTCCACCTCCAGCACCTTTCCCATGAGTGGATGGCTTGGGGCTGCCCTCCTTGGATGCCACCCAGAATCAACAGCTTTTGGGTCCCTTGTTGGGCTTCCTTGCCCAGCCTTCTCAGAGGCAGGGAAGACGGGCACTCCAGGGCTGGAGGAGCAGTGTACCTCGAGGCCTTGTGCTCATGCTTTGCTTCTGCCCTGGCCTCTGTGTCTCACTCACTTAGGCCTTTAGCAAATGTTATGTGAGCGCCTAGCATGTGCTAAGCACCATGCCAGGTACAGGGGGTCCTCGTGGCCATGGGGCCTGGGTGAGCTCAGCACCCTTCCCTGCAGCGCAGTGTGCAACCTTGGCGGACCTCTCAGGCCTTGCTTTCCTTATCAGTCAGGTTAGGCCTTTTTGGGGATGTTGTGGGGACTTGTGGAGCGATATGCGAGGCTCAGCCCCACGCCTGGTCCACCATCCATGTTGGCCCTGCTGCAGCCCTGCGGTCCAGCTGAGAGACACACTTGGCAGCAGATACATTACCAGGTGGTCAGATCCAGGCAGCCACAAGGGCAGGGACAAGGCCTGAGGGGCCGTAGTTGCTCAACTTCACTTTGGCTGCAGGAAAGGAGGTGGTTACAAAAGGCACCCTGGAGGAGAGCGGTGCCAGGTCTGGGTTTGGAAAGGCGAGCAGGTGGCAGTCAGATTGACAGGGAGGCGGCCCACTGGGCATGTGGGGTGAGGGAGAGCCGGTTTTCCCACATAGTGCCTTTGCCTGAAGGGCAGCACTAGGGGGGCTGTAGGTGTTGAGATGCACAGATGGGAGAGGGGACAGAGGGACACAGGGAGGGGAAGCCACCTCGGGGAGATTGTGGCCAGGAGAAGCGTGACGAGTCTTGCCTTTTGGGAAGCTGATTTTTAGCAACCAAGACGACTTTTATTCTTCCCTTCCCTGTGGACTTCATACTTCGAAAGCTTGCCTCCTGAGCAGATGGTATTTAACCAACACTGAGTGAATGGCACCTGAAGTAGTTTGCGACCGCACATCTCTGCCGGCCAGAGCCTCCAAGCACTGGGAGAGCAGCATGGCCACGGGCCCTCTCCACCCTTGTCTTCCGGCCTCCCGAAATTCCTGACACCACTAACCACCTTCTTGGCATGTGTCTGCGGTGCCACCCTTAGTTGTCCTCCTGCCTCTGTGGGCCCTCGTCTGCTTCCCCTTGCATGTTGGAGCTCCTTGGGCTCAGGCCTGCGCACAACGCTCTGTACTGTTCCTCTCCCGGGTGTGCCAGAAAAAAAAAATCCAGTTGCTGTCAAGTTGATTCCGACTCATGGCCCACTTGTTACAGTGTAGAACTGCTCCATAGGGTGTTCTTGGCTGTGCTCTTTCCACAAGCAGGTCACCAGACCTTTGTTCTGTGGTGCTGTTGGGTGGGTTGAAACTGCCAACTTTTAAGTAAGTGGTTGAGTGCAAACCATTTGCGCCACTCGGACTGGGTGTCAGCGACTTTCAAATTTCTACCTATCCAAGTACTTGCTTCTGGACTCCTCAGTGGTGCCATGGCCACCGCACACTCAGCATTTCCCAAAACGAACTCCTGTCGCCCCCATACCTGCTCTCTCCAGTGTCTGCATCTCAGCAGTGACATCTGCCTAGCCAGTTGCTCAGGCCAGAAACCCGGGTGTTACTCTGCCTCCTTTGTCTCCTTACCCTGTGCTCATCCCACACGGTACTGGCCCCTCCTCTGGCCAGGTTCTGTCCGTGTGGTGGGACGAAGCCATGACTGGACAGAGGTGGTCATGGCTCTCAGGGAGCATGTGACTCCAGTGGGGCCAACAGACGTCTCGGGAGGAAATAATCGGTAATCGTGCAGTACAGCAGGGGCGGGGGCATTGAGGACACATGAAGCCAGGCTGGGGTGGAGGAGGCTGCGCTGGTCTTCCAGCCAGGGTGAGCTGGGAAGAACCCTGGAGGCGGTGCCTGCTGTGCTGAGGCTGAGGAGTGAGGAGAGCGGCGTGAGGGCCTGCAAGTGCAAAGGCCGTGGAGCAGGGACAGGTGTGTTCAGAGGCCAGCGGGATGGACTGGAGTGAATGAGGAGAGCGGAGGAGCAGCTGAAGGCCATGAGGGACCAGGCCAGGCAGGGCTACACGGACACGGGGACAAGGCTCGGGGCGTGTTCTCGGTGCAGGGGAGGCCACGTAGGCAGTGGCATCAGCAGGAGGGAGACCTGACCTGACTTCAGTTTAAGATGGCCCCCTCACTTTTTGCAGAGAAGGGACTGTGGGCCTGGTCAAGAGTGGCGTGGGGGTAGGACTGTCCCCTGCCAGTCTGTCCTGTCTTAGAGCCCACTTGGGGCCCACGGTCCCCACTCTGAGGCCATCCTTAGTCCTTCCCAGGGGCCTCGGCCCCTGTCCGTTCGGTGTGGAGGTTGGGCCTCGGGAGGTCCTGGGTCAGTTTCAGCCACCTCTTGTCCTCAGGCCCCCTGTGGCTCACCCTACAGGGGCGTGTGCTGATCGCATGAACCTCTGCACAGGCGCACCCATGGTGACCACACACATTCCTCCACCTTCCCTTTGAGAAATGGGGCTGGGGCTCCTGCCTGTGCCAGCGGCAGGGCTTAGTGGCAGCAGTGTCCCTGCAGGGAGTAGGTGAGGATGCACCTTTGTTCACGGGATGACCTTGGCGGGTGGCCACCTCTCCTCTCTGGGCCCTACTGCCCACCTCTGAGAGAATGATGGTCCTCCTCATGGGGGCAGCAAGGAGAGTTTAAGGGGTATGCAGAGCCCTCAGCTAGGCCACCCTCACTGGGGGCTGGGTCCCTGAGCCACAGTCTGAAAAAGGGAAGGAAGAGTGTGTGTGAGGGGACGAGACTAGGAGGGAGGGTGTCATTCGCCTGCTCTCGTCTCATTCTCTTGGCCTTACGTGATAGACAGTTGTTTCATCCTGAACCACGTGTCTCAAGGAGGGGCAGTGTGGGTGGGTCACGTCCACAATGGCATCCTGGCTGTGGCAGCTCAGGTGTACCTGTCAGGTGTCTTCAGACCTCCCTTTCAGTCCCTTATTGAGCTGTGATTTACACATAAAAAGCTGTCTGAAGCGTACAGCTGGTGAGCATGGTCACAAGCGCACACCTGGAGGCCACACTGCACTGCCCCGCCTCCCCAGAGCTCCCCGCACCCTCTGCTCCGCCAGCCCCCACGCAGCTCTGTTTCTTGTCACCGTGGTCTAGAATGTTATACAACAGATGCTACAGGATGTGTTCCTCTGTCTCAGCGTCGGGATCTGAGCCTCACTCACATGGTCTCCAATGTGCGTCTATTGAAAATAAAGCTGCTTTGAGGCGGATACCCAGGAGGGCACCAGCTGGATCCCGTGGTGGCCGGTTGTATAACTTTTTGAGAAACTGCTAGACTGTTTTCCCAAGTGATTGTCCCATTGTATGTTTCCGTCCGCAGTGGACGAGCGCTCCGGGTGCTCAGCACCCTCACCCACAGGCTGTGAAAGAGCAGCCAGGAGCAGGATCTTCTCTTTTGGCCCCACGTGGGTTTTGTGAACTCAGACCCTCCGCCGGCGTCCGCTCTGCCATGGGCAGGAGGGGGCAGCAGGGAGAGCCCTGCGGAGTCTCCGAGCTGCTCCAGTCCTGGGCCCTCCCCTGTGGCATTCCCTCTGGGACACGCTCTCTGTGCAGCATTCCCTGGGAGAGGGCCACCAGGATGGCCTCTCATCCCTCCTGTGGACAGAGCCATGATTGGGGATCCCCCTCTGCCCCAGGCACCCCACTGTGGAACTGAAAGTGAAAAGCACCGCCTTCTCTTCCCTGCCCCCCAGGTGCTCATCTGCCGGAACTACCGCGGTGATGTGGACATGTCAGAGGTAGAGCACTTCATGCCCATCCTGATGGAGAAGGAGGAGGAGGGCATGCTATCACCCATCCTGGCTCACGGCGGCGTCCGCTTCATGTGGATCAAGCACAACAACCTCTACTGTGTCCTTTTGATGGAGGGCACATGTGCGTGCATTTGTGTGCGAGTATGTGTGCATCTCTGTGTGTGGCTGAGACCGCATGTCTGTAGGTCCATGAGCTGTAAGTCTCCCTCCCCTCAGCTTTGGCCAGGCGTGTTCTGTACTTGCGGTGCTGCAGGACAGCTGGCTTTGCAGCCGTTGGTTCTGCTGGCATCCTGGCCCAGCCCCTCACCTCCTATCTGCCCTGTGGGACTGATACCCCTCACCTCTCCTTAAAGGCCCCTTAGTGTCAGCAGGGCTGGTGCATGTGAATTGACCCATGGACACAGTTGTTTTTTCTGCACGTGTAGCCACAGCACCCCCGGGAGATGGTTGGTAAACTGGAATCTCAGGCTTAGCAGACCCACCCAGTCGGGTCCGTGTCAGGGAGCACCTTGGGGTTTGTGTGGTTAGGATCCCCTGGGCCCTGCCGTGTCCCCCTTTGCTCACACGTCCCTGTCTATAGCACTGTGAGGAATGCACGGATCATTAGGCCATCCCCCAAAGCTGCCCTGGCCGCGATGACTGCCTAGTGTGTGTGTGGGGGCGGCAGTTGTGGTCTGAGCTCAGCGGGACTGGGTGGACCTGTTCTCAGTCAGGCCCCAACGTCCCCGCGTGGGCGCCAGGGAGACGGTAAGGGCTCCTTCTGGTGTCCCTGCCCAAGGTGCCCCGCATGAGCAGTGACGTCTCCCTCCCAGCCTGCCTACTGGTTGTGTTGTTGTTGAGGAGGGGGTTTTCCAGCAGGACCCCAGCCAGGTGGCTGGTGTACCTCCTGGCCCTCCTTGTCAAGCCCTTGGAGCTGGTGTCACCCCTGGAGCCAGAGAGGGCAGCCCTGCCTCTCTAACTTGGCCGGCACCCGTTCTGGCACCTGCAAGGTGCGCAGGTGAGGCAGGGAGTGAGGGGCAGCCCCCAGAGTGCACAGCTTGGCAGGGAGCCACTGTGTGGCGGGCGTGCAGCCAATGGGGAAGTCAGGGCAACTGCTCAGACCTGCAGGGGAGGAACCCAGAGACACAGAGGAACAGGAAGTGCTCACACATGGGGCCCTGAGTTAGGGGCTTGCCCACGTTGGGAGGGGTATCTGCACCTTGGGCACTTTATAGCATCACCCACTGAGCAGGCAGGAAGACCGAGCTGGGTTAAAGGGAGAGCACTCAGGCCAGGCCAGGAAGGGTGTGATGGGAACTGGCCTGGCTGCTTCTGCAGAGCTGGCTGGGTATCTGGCCATAGCGGGCACACGGCTTGGGAAGAGAAGGCTGGAGGTGGCCCTGCTCCTGTCCCTGGACCATGCCACGCCCCTACCACCTTTAGGTCTGTGCCTCCACCATTCCCTCTGCCCCTTACCCTCCCTGGTGGACTTCAGCATTCAGTTCTCTTCACGTCCTCAGCATCCTCCCCAACTCAGTGGCCAGGGCAGCCCAAATCCTTGGGCATCTCAGTGGTCCTTGTGTCAGCTGAGCACCCCTGTGAGCTGGGACTGGGCCTGGCCAGTGGGGTAGTGGTGGTTCAGGGGTAGAATTCTCATCTTCCATGTGGGAGACCTGGGTGTAGTTCCCAGCCAATGCACCTCATGCACAGCCACCACCCATCTGTCAGTGAAGGCTTGCGTGTTGCTGTGAAAGTGAGCAGGTTTCAGTGGAGCTTCTAGACTAACACAAACTAGGAAATAAGGCTTGCTGATCAGCTTCCAAAAATCAGGCTGTGAAAACCCTATGGATCACATTAGTCTGGTCCTTAACCGATCATAGGGATAGCACAGGACCATGCGGCGTTTTGTTCCATTGTACCTGGGGTCACCATGAGACAGATGCCAACTCAGTGGTAGCTAAGAACAGCAGTAGTCCTGCCCCAAGGGAACATAGTAGGGAGGACAGAGAGGGAACTCTGAGCCGGGGGTGGGGGTGGGGGGGCTGGCCACTCCTTGACACCCAAGAACCAGAGTTGCCTTCCAAAAGCTCCTTAACCCACTGTGCAGTGGTTGCTACCTCCAAGAAGAATGCATGCGTGTCGCTGGTGTTCTCCTTCCTCTACAAGGTGGTGCAGGTGAGTCCAGCACAGGATGCAGGAGGTCAGTTCTCTCTGCGGGCTAGGGCCTCCCTGTACATGGCTGCAGCCTTGTTTGCTCCCCTGCCCTGGTGAGGGGAGGTGCGTGGGCAGAAGCGGGGGCCTAGGCAGGTGTATGCCCTGACCCCAGCCCCTGCCACACCCGGCCTGACCTGGGAACAGCTTCTGGTGACCCTGGGGATGACAGTCATGTCCCCCAACCTGGTAGGTCTCCAGCTGGTGCTCGGGGGTCAGGGAGATGGGATAACAGCAGGAGGGTAGGGCCAGACCAGCCTAGCATCTGCACAGGAATCTAAAGACAGAGGGACCCGAGGCCCATCCTGGAGATTCACCTAGAAGGAATGTTCATCACCTGGCCCAGCCTGAGGGTGAGATGGAGGACAAGGCAGCATGTGCAAAGGCCCTGGGGCAGGAGTGCACCCTCATGCAGTCAGGCACCATCAGGGAGGCTAGTGGGCCCATGACTGGGAGCAAGGGCAGAGCTCGGGGCCGAGGTCGACCAGGTGGATGGGGCTCACCTGGGTAGGGTGAGTCATGTAAGGCCTTGGGAAGGACGTGGATTGATTCTGAGTCTGACAAGCAGCTGTTGCAGGGCTTTAGGCAGAAGGCTGACAGTGGCCTGACTTGGTTAACACTCTCTCTGACTGATGAGTAGAGAAAGAACTGGAATGCAACAGGGAGGCCAGTGAGGAGGCTGCCGTGAGGTCTGCAGAGAAGTGGCAGGGGCTGGAGGAGACTCGGGTCCAGGGGAATGGGGTGGGTGCCTCACCACTACAGACAGCCTGGGAGCTGCCTGGGAGAGCATTGGGGAGCAGGGGCTTGGGGAGCTGAGGGCGTGGTGGGTTGGGGAGAGAGCAGAGAGCTCACCGGGGAAGGCCCGTGTATGGCTGTGGAGTTGGGGTCTCATCCTGGGGCCATGATGCCGTCTCCTGTAGGATAGGGACGGCTGTGCTGGCTGTTGTGGAGCGGAGTTGGCGATGGTGGTCCTGGAGGCTGGAGGCGAGGAGCGGGGAGTGGGAAGCAGAAGGGTCCCGCCCTCCTCTATTCAGTGGTCGTTGTTAGGGTTAGGGTTAGGGTTAGCCTTAGTAATTTTCTTCCGCTTCTAGTGCCAGAAAGAGCTAACGAGCCCCCCTCTTCCATGTCCATTCTTGAACCCTCCAAACCGTCCCTTGAACTGGGCAGGGTGCATCCACATACTGCTGTCCAGACTGGCAGCTCAGGAGGCCAGTAGAGTCCAGAAGAACCTCCTGTCCTGTCTCCAGTAGCTTTTGCCCCCTATCTGTGTCACCCTTGACTTGGGCCAAGGGTAACAATGACAATCAGAATTAAAGAGAGGCTTGGGAGGGGCCACAGGCCTTGGCGAGGGATAGTGTTTGTGAAGGGGAATGGGGGATTCTAACAAGGCCTTGGGGTGCCTGCCCCCATCCCTGAGCCCACATCCCAGGCCAGGGGATGGGTACAGTCACCTTGTGAAGGAAGGGGCTTCAGGACCTGAAGGGCAGATGAGTTTGTGCATGTACTGCATTCATTCATTCATCTCATCCCCTCCCCTCCCCTCATCCACACCTGCCTGCCCCCACCCAGGTGTTTTCAGAATACTTTAAGGAGCTGGAGGAGGAGAGCATCCGTGACAACTTTGTCATCATCTATGAGCTGCTGGATGAGCTCATGGACTTCGGCTACCCGCAGACCACAGACAGCAAGATCCTGCAGGAGTGAGTGGGGGAGGGGGGCGTCAGGGAACGGCCTGGCACAGCGCTGGGAGGCTGGAGTCAGCTGTGGTCACTCACCAGTCCCCAGCCCCGTGGCCCTCAGTGTCATAGCATTGATGTCATCGGGTTTGGAAATGGGAGAAGCAAATATATATTCACGTGGTCGCACCACCGTCCCCAGCAGAGCATGGGCTTTACAGAGCTGCTCTCTGCAGTGTGGGTCATTTCTCCACTCGATGCCCCTGTGTGACACGAGTGTCTTCCTGCGGCTGGCTCTCATTCCCCATCCACACGGAGGCGCTCATCTCTTGCTATTAGCAGCCTTCGTTTTGACAGTCACAAGTTAGGCTGTGATAGCAATTTCCTTCTTTGGAATCGTGCCCTTCAGACAACAGCAATTATTAAGCCCCAACTGTGAACAGGCAACGTGCTAAGTGCTTTCCCTGCATTCGACTCAGCCTCATGGGCTGAGGGCCGTCTCCCCATTTTACAGGGAGCCACACATACGGCCATGCCCGTAACTGACTGACTGGGGCAAGGTCACCAGGTCACACTCCCTGAGGGTCAGGCCCCCCCACAGGCCAGGCAGGGGAGTGCTTGGCCCTATTCTTGTTTTCAACCCCAGTGCCGTCTCTTTGGACCCCACAAAGTGACTACTTTGGGTTCCTTATCACTTGAGTGTGTTTGTTGTAAGTGGTAAGATATTCTCTTTCTTTTTTTATTGTGAAAATAAACACACCAAAACATTGGCCAACGCAGCTTCCACATTTATAATTCAAGGACACTGATTACGTTTTTCATGTGCCAACATTATCACTATCCTTTTCCAAAATATCCCACCACCATTAACATAAACTCACTGCCCTCCATACAAGATATTCCTTTATGAGCAGTCCCAGGTGAATCCAGGGCTTGCCTTCTGGCACATGATACAGTGAGGGCTGTGTTCAAGTTGATCAAGACGCCCCCTGTCCCGCTCGGCCCCCCACCCCCAGACGTCAGTGCACAGGGTGGGGGTGGTTGTGTGGTAACACCACCATAACTCTGAGCTTGTTCCAAAGGTACATCACTCAGGAGGGCCACAAGCTGGAGACGGGGGCCCCACGGCCCCCTGCCACTGTCACCAATGCAGTATCCTGGAGGTCCGAGGGAATCAAGTACCGGAAAAATGAGGTGTTTTTGGATGTCATCGAGTCAGTCAACCTCTTGGTAGGCTTTTTTTTTTTTTTTTTTAATTAATTTCGTCTTCTCCATGATAAAAATAAAAATCAGACTTTTAAAACTAGCAAAGCCCTGAGAAACGCTTAAGGTTCTATGTATCAGATGGCCAGGCTTCAGTTCAGGCCGCTCATGGGAATGCGAGCTTGTTTTAGCTTTACTAGCTTTTGTCCTCGACTGGCACAGTTTGCACTTGACTACTAACCTAAAGGAGCCCTGGTGGTGTAGTGGTTAAGGGTTTGACTGCTAACCAAAAGAGCTTGGCTGCTAACCAAACGGTCAGCAGTTCAGATCCACTAGCTGCTCCTTGGAAACCTATGAGGCAGTTCTACTCTGTCCTATAGTGTCATTGTGAGTCAGAATGGACTGAACTCCACAGCAGCAGATTTTTACTAACCTAAAGGTTGACAATTTGAACCATCCAGTGGTGGAAGAAAGGCCTGACAATTTGCTTACATTAAGATCACAGCCAAGAAAACCCTATGAAACTCAGTTCTACTCTGTAACACATGGGGTTGCCATAGGTCAGAATGGACTCAATGGCAACTAACAACAACTTTTGTTCTGAGTTGGAATTAATACATGTATGCTGTTAAAAAAAAAAAAAACACGTAAACAAAAAGCGTGGGGCTCCTGTAATCAGATCCACCGCCTGCGTTTAAGAATTTAAAGTCATCCTTTCAGACCTCATTCTGTAGATATATAAACATACATTGTTTTGCTATAAAACAGACCATAATATGTAGTTCTCCTGTAGCTTGTTTTTTGGGTTTTTGTTTGTTGCTGTTTTGTATGTTTCATTTTTTCTTTTAATTTTATTTTTCAAATTATCATTGAGTAAAAATGACCTTTTTTTCCTATGAATTTTAGCACATTTATAAATTTATGTACCCACCTTCATAATCAGGATACAGAACAGCTCCATCACCCCAAAAAACTCCCTTGTGCTGCCCCCTTGTGGTTACACCTTCCACCCACCTTGTCCCTAACCCCTGGCAACCACCCGTCCCTCCAGTTTTGTCTTCTTGAGATTGTCGTATAAATAGAATTACACAGCATGTAACCTTTCAAGCCTGGCTTCTTTCACTCAGCATAATACCTCTGAGATTCATCCAAGTTGTTATGTGTGTCAAAAGTTGTTTTTTTTTTTAATATTTGTTTACATTTATTTTATGTTCCGTGGTATGTATGCACCACAGTTTGTTTATCCATTCACCCACGGAAGGACATTTGTGGTCTTTCCAGTTTTTTTGGCAATTATGAATAGAGCTGCTATAAACATTTTGTGTCCAGGTTTTTGTGTGGACATAAGTTTTCATTTCTCTAGGGTAAATACCCAGGAGTGGGATTGCTGGGTCATACGGTAAGTGTATGTTTAATTTTATAAGAAACTGCCAAACCCTTTTTCAGAGTGGTTTCACCATTTTGCACTCCCACAGTAATGTACAAGGGTTTGGGTTGCCCTGCATCCTTGTCAGCACTTGGTATTGTCCATATTTTTATTTTTGCCATTCTAATGGTGTGTAGTGGTATCTACTCATAGTTTTAATTTTCTTTTCCCTACTGGCTAATGATGTTGAACATCTTTCATGTGCTTTTTTGCCATCCTTTCGTCCTCTTTGGGGAAGTGTTTCTCCATGTCTGTTGGGCATTTTTAAATTTGGTGGTTTGTTTTATTGTTGAGTATTGAAAGTTCTTTGTATACTTTGGATATAAGTCCTTTGTCAGATATGTGATATGCAGTCTGTAGCTTATTTTTTATTCTCTTGGCTGTAACTTTTATAGAGCAAAAGTTTTTAATTTTGATGAAGTCCAGATATCAATCTTTTATGGATTGTGCTTTTGGTGTCATGTCTAAGAAGTCATTCCAAACTCAAGCCACATTAAGATTTTCTCCTAAAAGTTTTATAGTTTTACATTTCACATTTAGATCTATGATCCAAAATAAAGTGTGACTTATTTTTTTCCAAGTTCTTTTTTTTTCATATCGATGTCCAGTTGTTCCAACATCATTTGTTGAGAAGCTTATCATTTCTCCACTGAATTGCACCTTTGTCATAAGTCAGCTGGGCATATTTGTGTGGAGCCATTTCTGGAGTCTATTCTGTCCCATTGATCTGTGTATCTACCCCTTTGCCGATACCACACTGTCTTGATAACTGTAACTTTATAGTAAGTCTGAAAATCAGGTAGTATGATTCCTCCAACTTTATTATTTTTTTCAAAATTTTTTTAGCTATTCTAGTTCCTTTGTTTTTCTGTATAAATTTTCGAATCAGCTTGTCTTTTTTTGGTTTATTTATTTTTATTGTACGTTAGATGAAGGTTTACAGAGCAAACTAGTTTCTCATTAAACAGTTAATACACATATTGTTTTGTGACATTGGTTGCCAACCCCACAACATAGCAATACTCCCCCCTTCTTGACCTTGGGTTCCCCATTTCCAGCTTTCCTATCCCCTCCTGCCTTCTCGTCTTTGCCCCTGGGCAGGTATGCCCATTTAGTCTCATTTTGTTTTATGGGCCTAGCTAATCTTTGGCTGAAGGGTGAACCTCAGGAGTGACTTCATTACTGAGCTATAAGGGTGTCCAGGGGCCATACTCTCGGGGTTTCTCTAGTTTCTGTCATACTAGTAAGTCTGGCTTTTTTTGTGTGTGTGTGAGTTAGAATTTTGTTCTACGTTTTTCTCCAACTCTGTCCGGAACCCCCACTGTGATCCCTGTCAGAGCAGTCGGTGGTGGTAGCTGGGCATCATCTAGTTGTGCTGGACTCAGTCTGGTGGAAGCTGTGGTAGTTGTGGTCTATTAGTCCTTTGACTTAATCTTTCCCTTGTGTCTTTAGTTTTCTTCATTCTCCCTTGCTCTAGATGGGGATGAGACCAGTATAGTATCTTAGATGGCCTCAGCTTATCTTTGTCTACAAGAAACATCCTGCTGGGATTTTGATTGTGTTAAATTTATAGATCAGTTTGAAGAGAATCAGTATCTTTACTATTCCGAGTCTTCCAGTCCATGAACATGGTATATATCTCTGTATATTTAAGTCAGCTTTGCTTTTCCAATCAGCATTTTGTGGTTTTTATCATATACATGTTTTGTTAGATTTATACTTGAATATTTCACTTTTTTGAAGCTATTTATTTAAAATTTTTTTTTAGACGTTAGATTTTAACTGGACATTACTAGTGTATGGAAGTACTGTTGATATTTATGTGCTGACTTGGTATCCTTTGACCTTGTTGAAGTCACTTATTCTAGAAGTTTTTTTTTTTTTTTTTTTTTGTAGACTCTTTAAGATTGTCTACATAGAAAGAAAACATGTTGTGAGTAGTTTTATTTTTTCCTTTCAAATATGTATGCCTTTTTGTCTTAGTTTCTTTGTGCTACATTAACAGAGATATCACAAATGGATGGTTTTAAAGAACAGAAATTTGTGTTCTCACAGTTCAGGAGGCTAAAAGTCCGAATTCAGGGCCCTGGCTTAAGGGAAGTCTCTCTCTCTCTGTCGGCTCTGGGGGAAGATCTCTTTCAGTTTCTGTAGACCCGGAATTCCTTGGTTCCTAGGTGATCTCCAGGAGACATGTGTCTTCCCCTCCATTTGTGCTTACTTCTCTCTGTCTAATCTGCTCTTTTTTATATCTCAGAGGTGACTAAGTGTAGGCACACCATTCACTGATATGGCTCATTAACATAGCAAAGAAGACCCTATTCCCAAATGGGATCACATCCACAGGTATAGGGGTTACAGTTCCAGCACATATTTGTGATGGATTGAATTGATCGTCTTTTAAATATTGAACCAGCCTTGCATTTCTAGAATAAACCCCACTTTTTGTTGTTAGGTGCCGGAACCCAATGTACAATAGAACAAAACGCTGCCCAGTCCTGCGCCATCCTCACAGTTGTTGTTATGCTTGAGCCCATTGTTGCGGCCACTGTGTCAGTCCATCTTCTTGAGGGTCTTCCTCTTTTCTGCTGAACCTCTACTTTACCAAGCATGATGTCCTTCTCCAGGGACTGGTCCCTCCTGACAACACGACTAAAGTATGTGAGACGAAGTCTCACCATCCTTGCTTCTAAGGAGCATTCTGGTTGTACTTCTTCCAAGGCAAATTTGTTCATTCTTTTGGCAGTCCGTGGTATGTTCAATATTCTTCGACAACACCAGAATTCAAAGGCATCCATTCTTCTACGGTCTTTTTTATTCGTTGTCCAGCTTTCATATGCATATGAGGCGACTGAAAATACCGTAGCTTGGGTCAGGCGCACCTTAGTCCTTAAAGTGACAGGTTTGCTTTTTAACACTTTAAAGAGATCTTTTGCAGCAGATTTGGCCAGTGCAGTGCATCTTGACTGCTGCTTCCATGGACATTGATTGTGGACGAAAGTAAAATGAAATCCTTGACAACTTCAGTATTTTCTCTGTTTATCATGATGTTGCTTATTGGTTCAGGCGTGAGGATTTTTGCTTTCTTTATGTTGAGCTGTAATCCGTACTGAAGGCTGTGGTCTTTGATCTTCATCAGTAAGCGCTTCAAGTCTTCTTCACTTTCAGCAAGCAGGGTTTTGTCATCTGCATAACACAGGTTGTAATGAGGCTTCCTCCAGTCTTGATGCCCTGTTCTTCTTCAAATAGTCCAGCTTCTCAGATTATTTGCTCAGTGTACAGATTAAATAAGTATGGTGAAAGGGTACAACCCTCACACACACCTTTCCTAACTAAACCACGCAGTATACCCTTGTTCTTTTCGAACAGCTGCCTCTTGATCTGTGTACAGGTTCCTCAGGCGCACAATCAAGTGTTCTGGAATTCCCATTCTGGTCAGTGTTATCCATGATTTGTTATGATCTGCACAGTTGAATGCCTTTCCATAGTCAGTAAAACACAGGTGAACATCCTTCTGGTATTTTCTGCTTTCAGCCAGGATCCATCTGACATCAGCAGTGATATCCCTGGTTCCACTAGGGTGTATTATTCTTTACACCTTATT